GACCAGCGATGACATGTTTAGCCGTATGTCATTGTTTAACCGCTGGGTGTCCAGGTGGTGTTCTGACAACGACGTGGGCTACATAGATAACTGGAGTTCTTTCTGGGGAAAACCTGGTCTGATGTGGAGAGATGGCATCCATCCCACTTTGGACGGAGCCGCTCTTCTTTCTAGAAATATCCCCCAAATTATTGACAACCCAGGGTCCAGTCCAGGAAGCAGAGTTGTAGTCCTCCACACCTCTCTGCTGCTTCTCCTCTGTTACCCACCCACACACCCTTTGAAACAGTGTCAACTCGTCCACGGCTCAAATTAAATAAACAAAAAATCAACTCTAAAAATATAAACCATAAAAATCTGATTAAAATAAACACAGTTCCTTTACCAGAGCAAAATCATAAAATCATTAAATGTGGATTATTGAACATCAGATCTCTTTCCTCTAAATCCCTGTTAGTTAATGAACTGATAACTGATCAGCATATTGATTTATTCTGTCTGACAGAAACTTGGCTACAACAGGAGGATTTTGTTAGTATAAATGAATCCACTCCTGTTAATTATTTACATTTTCATGTTCCTAGAACAGGGCAGCATGGTGGCACAACTGGTAGAGCTGCTGCCTCTCAGCAAGCAGTTCCCTGGTTCAAACCCCGGTCCAGGGGCCTTTCTGGGTGGAGTTTGCATGTTCTCTCCGTGCATGCGTGTGTTTTCTCCGGGTGCTCCGGTTTCCTCCCACAGACCAAAAACATGCATGTTAGGCTGATTGGTAACTCCAAATTGTCCCTAGGTGTGAGTGAGAGAGTGAATGGTTGTTTGTCTCGTTTGTCTCTATGTGGCCCTGTGATGGACTTGCGACCCGTCCAGGGTGTACCCCGCCCCTCGCACAGTGATTGCTGGACATGGGCACCAGCGACCCCCGTGACCCAAAATGGAATAAGCGGGTAAAGATAATGGATGGATGGATGTTCCTAGAACAACTGGCCGAGGTGGAGGAGTAGCTTCTATTTTTCAGTCAGGATTATTGATTAATGCCAAACCAGTTATTAGTTGTGATTCTTTTGAATCGCTGTCCCTCAGTCTTTCTCATCCAAAATGGAAATCAGAAAAGCCACTTTTACTAGTTGTTATATATCGTCCACCAGGAGCTGACTCTCAGTTTTTGTCTGAATTCTCAGAATTATTAAC